GACCATCCCTGCTTCTCTAGTTCCCCATCCATCCTTTCTGCCCCTGCCCCCGTTTAGACAGGTTAGATGCACTTAGAATGTTTTCCCACATTGCTTATCTTTCCTTACAAAACACTCTTCGCACTCCTTTCGTTATAATTGTTTCTTTCCTGGCAGACTGAGAACCTTGTCTATCTGGCTCACCACTGAGTTCTCAACCAGAGCAGGACCTGAGAAATAGTGCTTTATAAATATTAAATGAACCAGTAATTTTGTTATCCCAGTACCCCATACAATACCTGGCAAATAACAGGTCCTCAATAATATTTGTTGAATTAATAGGCTGTTGAACTAAGAATATGTGATTAAGCAACGTGTAACAAGCAAAATAAATATTGTGTAGGCTTTTGTCTTTAAGGAGCACATATCCTTAATTAGGCTTAATCAGAGATGGCTTCCTAGAACAGGTGGCTTTTGAAAGAGAAAGGAATAACAATTCTTGCCTAGTGGAATGTAAAGGGCAAATGTAAGAATGTCAACATTTGTGCAAAATAAAATTGTGTTTTTACAACATGGGTAAACTCTAGTTAAAAATTTGCTGTGACTAGGAAGTGTTCTGTCTGAGATCTACTAGCTCTTCTACCTTGAATACTGGGTTTCAGTTAGGAATCAGCTGTAGAATCTACTGCCAGCAACTAAGCATGGAACTATAATGCCTCTCTAAAATTGGAAAATAATCTTTTTACCATAGAGAACAAGATTCTTGCCAAGTTTTACATTAATAGGATTTACTATATTTTTCATATAATTTTATATCAAAGAGCACTCAGAGTTAATTTCTAGTTACTTTTGGCCTGTGCTTTTGTCACAGGTGGGCACAGGTAACCAGGTTCTTGGTGATCAGGACAAAGATTTGAACTGAACACCCAGAGTTTATAGCAGAGAACGTGGGAGCAGGCCAGCTCTAAGCAGAAACTGACCTCATGGGCTGGAGGGACTCTATTCTTATAGGGCGGATTCTTCCTGGCTAGTTTTGGCAGGCTTTTACTGTGACAAGTAGTCGTAAAGCTACTGCACATGTGGTCTCCCATGGTTTTCCTGGATTGGCCGCCAGGGAAGGGGGTCCCACAATGTTACCTAGTTGACCCCCCCCTACTCCTGGGGTCCCGCTGTACTAGGTTCACCTTTCCCTTTGCCAGAGAATTATAGCTCTCCATGTTAGAGATTGGTGAAAAGGAAAGGAATTATTTATTCAAGTTATACAGACTTAAGAGTAATGACTTAATGTCTTCATCAAAATCCCAAAGTCCCTTAAAACACCCACAAACACACAGTCCTTCTTTCCCCCTTTGCCCAGTACAAGGTACCGTATCTCAGGAAAAGAAATAGAAAGCTGGGTGGTGGTTCTCTGCCAAAGCTGCATGATGGTTCTCTGCTAAAGTTGTGCTGGTGATTCTCTGCTAAAGCTGAGTGATGATTCTTCTCATGGCTGCGGGTGGGGGGGGGTGGTCCCCCCACTCTAGCCAAAGTCGAATCATTCTCTTTGCTAAAGTTACATGATGATTCTCTGTCACAGGCTGCAAAAGTCCCCATTCTGGCCAAAAGCACGTGATTCTCTCTTCAATGGCTGCCATGTCTGAGTTTAAATCCCTGCTCCAATCTTCCTCTGCAGTCCCAGTTCCGACTCCTCCCACAATCAGCTATACTGGCTGGGACTCCCAGATCCTCCCAGCTTTAGTGGGATGCCATAGTGAGTCTGGGCAGGTGAGGCCCCATGGCGTGGAGCCAATCATCTCCAAGCTCTCACGCAGGTGCTGTACCAGGGGCTGGGAGTTGCCTCCCAGTTATTACATCTTGGGTGGAAGTCACTCCCTTCTCCCTGGCTTAAAGCACAGCCACAGCTATTGAACATACCAGTTAAAGGTTATAGACATGTTAAATGACCATTCTATCTGAGAAACTGTTGCTATACAAAACAACTCAGTGGCCCTGCTCCATGTATCCCATCCCCCCAGCTCGGACTTTGGGAGGTGAGGACATCCCATATTTTTTAATATTTCCTGGACACCCTGAGTTCTGGACCCCATTACAAATCCTTCTTTTGGGGACCCCCTGGATGCACCCTCCTACACTTTGATAATATACACTTACATATAATGGCTTGTTTTCTTTGCTGTTTCTTTTTTTCTTTTTTTAGAGAGAGGGGAAGGGAAGGAGAATGGGAGAGAAACATTAGTGTGTGGTTGCCTCTCATCTGTCCCCTACTGGGAACCTGGCCTGCAACCCAGGCATGTGCCCTGACTGGGAATCGAACTGGCAACCCTTTGCTTCACAGGCCCGTGCTCAATCCACTGAGCTACACCAGCCAGGGTCTTTGCTGTTTCTTTGTGAACTACTTCTTGAATGTGAGCTTTATGTTCTAACTTTACTTAGATGAAAAAGGTGTTAATTTCATGAATGGTTAAATGTCTCTTCATAGATTAATAGACTACCTAAAATGTATTGATGAGCAATATAATGTGGCTGAGTGAGGTATTAGTAGAAAAATTATGTGAGTAAAAATGATAAGTAAAAAGGCTGAGAACATCTTTTCTCAGAGATACTTTACCAAAGAAAGATTAATGACTCCAAACGATGATTTTTTTTACAAGTAATGTTCACAATGTCAGTTATGTTGAAATGTGAAGCATGTGGCCCTGGCTGATGTGGCTCAGTGAACTGAGTGCTGGCCTGCAAACTGAAGGGTCGCTGGTTCCAATTCCAGTCAGGGCACATGCCTGGGTTTCCAGCAAGGTCCCCAGTAGGGGAGCACTGGAGGCAACCACACATTGATGTTTCTCTCTGGCTCTTTTCTCCTTCCCTCCCCTGCCCCTAAAAATAAACAAATAATTTAAAAATCTTAAAAAGGAAATGTGAAGGATCTGAATTCAAGAGCATTCCTGGGTTTACTATTTTACTCTTGAACTCATATGAAATCTGTAACTTTTAATTTGGGGCTCCATCTCTTAGTGGTTTATTATAGTGGGTTTGATTAAACTTGTGATTTAGTCACAAGTCAGAAACATATGAGTCACTGTATTTTACAGAACGTGCTTTGTAAATTTTTATTTAACCCTGATATACACCACAGGTTGATAAATTATGAGACAGTTCACAGAAGTCATACATGAAAGAATTCTGATTATTTTATTATCCACAACTCATAATTTTCAAACTTGGAGATAAATTTCATTTAAAAAAGTCATATTATGTATTTTATAGTTTTAATATAATGAAAAATTTTCAGGCTTAGAAAAAGGTATCTGAATATTAACACTTGCAAGGTAATTGATAGTACCCAAAGAGCTTTTCTCATTAATTATCTCAGAAAACTGAATAATGATGTGATTACTAAAGGTTAATTAAGCAAATACTTGTTAAGTAATTGGAAGGTAATCTATTCCCAATTTAACAGGTCAATCGGGGTATTTAGGAAATATTTTTGCTGATTAACAACTCTATCAAAAACAAAAAGATATTTAAGTGATTTCTCTGGTGTAAAACAATAAACATGTATTTGTTCTTTTAGGAGTCAACTGTTTGAAAGAACTGGAATGAGAGTTCCTCCACCGTTTGATAATTCAAGAGGTTTGAAGAAAATTCTGAGCTCTTCCCTTTCAATGTTAACACAAGTCTTACATTATTGGTTATTTTGGCACTTCAGAATAAAAGAAATTATCCGAACAAAGTAATTACGAGAAGGCACAGAAATGTTGAAGTCAGAGAAACATCCCTCTTCTTGTGGGGAGTCACACATTTTACTTATCGACCACACAGTGAATCAAAATCCAACGCACAGTGACAATGAAAACATTATTCTCCAAGTACATAGCCATACAAAGATATTGTCTTAAACTATTTTTTATGGGTATAGCTTATAAAATTATTCTCATCTGCATGCAGTGTAACTAACGCTGCCTTCTCCAAACTGCCTCCAGATTACCAAGTGTTTTAAAATCATATCCCTCTTGCTTCTGGTTTCCCGGCAAAAGACATGACTTCCAGGTAGGAAAATAAGTGCCCAGCAAAGAAAGACAGAGGTAAACGGTTTCAATAACAGTCAAGAGGATCAGCCCCGGGAGTCCCGGGGCTCGTCCCAGGCGCCCGCACGAGCTGGAGAAGTGGACACCGGGCACCTTTGTCCGTACCCGGCTTTTTTGGCTCGAGGCCGAGCCACGCGGGTACCACGGTCCAGGCGGGTCCGGGCACTGTCCGGGGAATCGCGCGGCAAGGGCGGCACGGCCGGGAAGCAGACGATCAGTGGCGGCGCGGTGGTCCCCTCCTATGGGAACCGCGCCAAGTCCCAGTCAGAGCCCGGCGGGCTCACTATTGTTTTTGGCGAGCACATAAATCCCTGCTCCGACCTCCGTGCACCCAGATTTCCTCCCGGAGGCCATTCGGTTTCCTCTGAGGCCCTATATAGAGGCCCCGGCCCGCGCTGCAGAGGAGCGCGCGTCCGCTCCGGCCTCCCTGACAAGCTGGGATTTGGAGTGCTTCTTGTCCTTGGGCCTCTGCACCCGGAGGCGTCCGGAGGTGACCGAAGTGAATTTCTTCCCTCGGCCGAGTGGCTGCGCGAAGCGGGTGTAAGCGAGAAGGAGAAGGATCCGCTTCTCCGGGGTTTTCCTGAAGCCAATGGGAACGCCAGCGCACGCCTCGCGCCCCGTCGCAGCTCCGGGGAGAAGGGGGAGGGGAGCGGGCCTGCCAGGCGGCCACCGGGATTGGAGCGGGGGCGGGCTGCGCGCGGAGCCGAGGGGTGCTGGCGAGGGAGCCGCGCGTGCGCGTGCGCGGGGGTGTGCGCCCCAGGCCCCCGCCTACAACCCCGGACTCCGCGGTCTCCGCCCCCCTCGCGCTGGTGTGCGGAGCCGGAGTCGGCGGCGGGTGGCGGCGCCTGGAACCTGGAGACCGATTGCCGCCCCCCCCATCCCGGCCCGGAATGTACTGATTCCCCCCCTCTCCTCCCTCTCCTCCCCTCTGCAGGAGGGAGGCGCCCCCGAGTCTCTCCTCCCGCGAAGAGAGGCCGCGCGGGCCGGGTCGGGCCGGGCTGGAGCAGCGGCGGTCTCCGGAGCCGAGCCTGCAGCGAAGGACCGGTTGAGGCGTGCAGGAGGGAAGGAGGCAAGGGCTCCGCGGCACAGCCGCCGCCGCCGCTCGCGGGCAAGAGATGGCGGCGGAGAGGGGAGCTCGGCGACTCCTCAGCACCCCCTCCTTTTGGCTTCGTTGCTTGCTGCTGCTCGGGCACTGGGCGCTGGGAGCTGCGGCCGCCAGGAGTGATTCCTCGCCGCAGTCCCCAGGTAAGCGGCGGGCGCTGGGCGCGGGCCGGGCGGGTGGGGGCTGGGACGCTGTACCGGCACCAGCTGTGGTTGCGGTGTTTTTGTTTAGGATCCAGGAGGAAACGTGCAGGAACTTCTCCACTGGTCTCGGCTTGCTGAAGGGAAAGCGGATCGCTCTGGGTGGGGAATGAAGTAGGCGGGCGGGGGCGCCTCCAGGGTTGGGGCGGCCTGGGAATGAGTCCGGGGCTACCCAGTGTAGTTCTGCGCTTTGTACCCGAAGGCAGGTTCACCTCTCGCCTCCCTAGCTTCCTTCCCCTCCCCCAGGCTCATCCCACTTGTAAGAGTGGGACATTCTTATGCTCGCACAAGCACCAGTAGAGGCCACTACACACCTCATTAAATAAACAATCGTACGGCCAATTCATTAATTTTCAAGGAAAGGAGGGGCGGCGGCGGGGGATGGCGGGGGGGGGGGCGCTTGAACTCCGCCTTCCCTGGCCAGGGATTTCCCGGCCGAAGTCCCTAAGAAGCGCTGGTTGCTCTCCAGGGACTACTTGTGCGGGGCCCCAAGGCGGCGGAACAGAAGATGCCAGGGGGCACAGTTACTCCCTCAGAAACTAGTGGTGTGATTTAACGGTGAGGGCGCCTTGGAAAAGGGTTCAAGTGATTGTATCTGTTAGTGTTTCCGCCAGGAAATGCTTCATTCCTGGTGATTACAACTGTACAGCCTAACGGCTCTTAACCTAGGGATTGTTGAAGCATGGGATTTTCAATACTTGTACGTTGTTTTCAAGTGGCACTATTTAAATACATTTAGCCTCAAAAGCCTTTTTCAGGGTTTTAACATAGTACAGATTATTGAAATCATCTGCATTTCTATATATTTAAATAGGACAATTAACACCAAAGTCGCCTCTAAAGACCTTACAGTGTGGTTGAGGAACAGGACACACTCAGCAGTTGAAAGGCAAATTAGCATGTAATCTGTTTAAATTGTTTGACCAAGGTGGTGTGTCATTAATCTTGACACAACTTTCACCTACTTGCTTGATCTGAAATTTTGCATTTGAAAGTGACATCTTCTAGTCACTAAACAATTACTTGTTTTCCCCTGATTCATGTAAAAGTTAAAATCACACTGAAATGAACTTAGCTGACAAACTTTCTTTTGATTTTCTTGCAGAGTGTGATATACCTCGTCATTTTTGCCAATGTTAAAGTTTTACACCTGAAATACCAGTGGGTATTATTTAAACAGATATGTAAACAGTAGTGTTTTAGTGTCAAACTTGCACTTACACATTTGCCTAAACATAGTTTAGAGTAAACCTTCTGGTTCTGAAATGTAGGTAACTTATCCAGCCCATTGTATTCTTGAGGATGGGCAAGACAAGTTTTCTCTTAATTAAATTTTACATGTAAAATGTGTATATGTTGTTTATCATTCTCTGTGTTTTAGGTAGCTGAGATTTCTGTCTAAAATTTTGTCAGTAATTTTGAAAGTAAATAAAATGCTACAATTTTTTTTTTACTTAGGATAGTAAAAACAATAAGCAGTCTTTTAGGAAGTGGTTGTAACATTTATTCCACCATTAATTCAGTTGATGGGCTTTTATTGTGCGCTGATGAGGTGCAAGCCATTGCTGAAACCTGCGCTCTGCCTTCATGAAGCTTACAGTCTGGTGTGTGGGTAGGAAAGGTGTGTGGGCCATTCAATTGCTGATTATATAATTAAGTAGTTGTGATAAGCACTGTGGAGGAGAAGAATAGGTTTTGAGAAAGTTTATACTGGGTGTCAGTGTATTTCAGAAGACCTGAGGTGTTAGAGTAGAAGTGGGGAGGCTGACAGCTAATTAATAGTATAGTTGGGTCTAGAACACAGGTCTTCTGATTCTTGGACCCAGAGTATTTTCTACAAACCATCCTGCCTAGTTACAAAAGCTAAAAGAATAACTGCAGTAAGGAGGGCATTGGTCAGTTCTCTGGTCAGTTGCAGAGAGATCAAGGGAATTGAGAACTGAGTAAGTGAACTGAGTAAGCAGCTTAGGGAACAAGCTGTCAGTATATCAGATGTCATTTGTCAGTGGTTGTATTTATTTATTTTTGTTGTAGAGGGGTAGACTCAGAAACCTTTCTGTGGGTGGTAGGTGAATGGAGATATTTGGTAGTAAAAGGAGGAAAATGGAGTGTGGGACAATAGTAAGTGAAGTTTTTTCAACTTTAGGGTAGACTGTAGACATGAGGAGATGGAGGAGAACAGAAGGGAAGGGCTAGTGATAGAAGATAGCCAGCAGTGGTGGGAGGATTTGAAATGATTAGGCACAATATGGTTTTAGGGAGGGCAGACTGCTGAAAAGGTATGTAGGCATCTGGGGAAAGATGATGAGACAGAGCAGTCTTTGTAATGAGGTCTTTTTTTCTAATCAGAGTGAAGGGGTTAAGGGAATGGTAATGAAGGGAATTGGGATGCAGGAGTGGAGAAGGTTAAGAAGGTTAAGAGTTCATTTGAAATCAATCTGAATTTGAAGTAGACCAGATCAGATATTTCCACACTTTCTGCAGCAACATTTTATACCCCAAGAGCAGAATTAGTGAAAAGTTTTAATTCAGTATTGGTTACTTATGAGTTACATGAAGTATGTAGACATTTAAAAAAAAAACCTTTATTAGAATAACCAAATATCCCATTTATTGGTTGGATTGCAAAAGAGTATTTGATGAAATGCCATTATGGTGTTGAGGTTAGCCATGATCTGGATTGCAGGGTATACTGCAGAGGTCATGTACCTATACTTTTCATTTAAGGTAAGAATTCTCTTGTCAAGATCTTACATAGACACTCTGTCTGCCTTCATCAGTTGCTTGATGATGTCATTCGTTACCTCACAAGGTACTCTATTTCTCTTTTCAACAACTTCTGTTAGTAAACTTTGCTTTATGTAGTACATTTAACTTCAATTTTCACCCTCCCCATCCTCCTTGAATTTTTTTTCTTGCCTATTTTGGCAACACCCTATCTCCTGATTCAACTCTGATCAATTTTCACTTGTTTTTCAGGTTTTTCTTTCAGCCCCCTTCCCCATTAAATGTTGGTATCTAAAGTTGATCTCATTGCACACTCTGCTAGCCTTCAGTTACTCCCCTAGTCCATTCTTTTTTCACCTGCCACTCAGTAGCCTCACTGAATAGCCACCTTACATTACACAACACCAGAGGTAAATTCATCTTTGCTCTTCTTCCGTCCTGCTTTCCACACCCCTTTTCTCCGGACTATAACAAACCAATTCCTGGCCTTCAGCACTACTGTTGTTTGAGCAATTGCATGGATTTGTCTTCCTGTATTACCTGCATTGGGCATCTATTCACCAGCCAACCAGGGTGAAGTCTGGAGGTCATCCTGGCCCCTCTCCTTCCCCTCATTCTCCTTCCCCAGTAGTTCTATTAGATGTTTAACCTCCTAGATATTTCTTGAATCTCTCTTTTCATCATTGTTTCCACCTAGATAGACTAACAATATTGGCTCTATAATTAATCTCTTTATTTCCACAGTTATCCTTTAGGAGTCTGTCCTTCTGGAATGAGCAGTTTTATGTATTTTTTTTTTAAGCATGCTACTCCTACTTACTATAGCCTCTAATTAAGAGTTCCATAGCTTGAGTGTTAGAGCCTACACTTCCTGGCATGGAGACTGTGAGGTCCCTTGTGTGCTTCACCACTGGCATTCTCTACCCTCAGCTTAAAGCCACCCACTCCAGATCAGCTACAGAGCTTCATGTCTCCATGCTGCTCTCTTCCTAGTACTGCCATTCCCTACCATGTCTACTTCTGAAACTGCTACTCATGTGTTCAGTGAATTTTCTGTGCTAGCCCCACCCCCAAACAATGAGAGTCCTCATTCTCTGTGTTCCCATAGCTTTCTCAATACTTTTCATCTGTGTTACTAATTTTCTTGTCTCCTCTACTAGTCTGAACCTCTTGAAGATTTTAGGACTTCTCTTACCTCTGTGTGCCTTGCCTAGTGGAGCACAAGCTTCTGGCACAGAGTCAATACCCAGTTAATGTCTGTGGGACAAATGTTGAATTGCCTTTTTTTTTTAACCACTGGGCCTTACTGGGTATCTCTTTCCTTTATATGATGGCCCTTGACGTGTCTGATGATAAAATTTGTGTGTGCGTGTTTTACTCTCCCCTTCTTTCTAAGTTCATCAACTTTTAACTCCTTCAGCCACTCTTTACATTCCTTAGTTTTCTGACCCATTCATCATGAATTTGGTTATGCTGCTTGGCGTATGCTGCAACTTTAGTGTTTGTAAGTTTTGACATCTCTGGAAAGATTGGTGTTCTTGCTGAGTTGTCTGTGCGTAAGGACTTATGCCCTCCTCTGCCTGCCTAACAGGATGAGGTATAACAGAGTTCGTAGGTTTCCACGATACAGGCTCAGGGGAGTTCAGAAATGTGATTGCTTTTAGTAAAACCATATTAAAGTTAATAATGTGATGTGGGATAGTGAAAGAAGACATGATGTGGAAGCAGTGTATTTGGGATATAACTTACCTTCCCATGGAAGGGCTCTGTACCTGCCCATCTGCTGGGGGTTGTCAGAAGAATGATATGTAAAATTGCTTTTAAACTGTAAAGTGCAGTACCGATGTAGAATGGTTTTAATGTTTTTTTATGAACTTAAAAATATACTCTAATTCTATTAATTTTTGAAAGTATATATATGTATATTTTCTGTTGGTTTAATTGATCATTGTTGGTTTCTTCATGAGTTTTCCTCTGCTAATAAAAATGTTAGGGTAACATTATTCTCATTATGTGGGGCTCTGTTTATCTATTTAATAGTTTTTATTTTCAAACACTTGATTTTATTATTGACTTCTGTGTGGTTGGGAGGTATTTACCATACCATTGGTAGGTGTTTTGGCTTCTAGGTAAAGTTGCATTAGCAATAGGAGAACAGACAAGGGAAGTGACTATATGTTAAGTTCATATTGACTAGTGAGTTAAGTGAGGTGAGG